ATATATATATATATTAAGATAAATAAATCTGTTATCTTAATTGTTTATTAGATTTAATTGTATATTATTTAATAATTTAATTATTTATTTAGTCACTTTTCACTAATGACGCACATTTAGTCATTTGTAATCTTGATTATTCAATTTAATCTAATTTGCACTGTTTTAGTTTTTAATTCATTTTAATAAAATTTTCTATTTAATTTAATTTTAATAACTTTATGAATTAAATTTAATCTAACGAGTTATTTTTAAATCTTATTTAATCATTGAATTTTTTTTAATCAGCTAAGTTATTTACAAATTATTTGACATTTTTCATGCTTTTTTCTATTAAACCATACATTTCAGCAAACATGCTAGCTTTGTCTTTATAACGCATGAACCCACTGCTTGTCTTTGTTTCTCATGTGTGTGCTCTCTGTGTGTGTGTCCTACAGATGGTGTTTACAGAGGTGACAAGCTGATCAACCTGAAGAAGATAGCGTCTGAAGCTTTGGATCGCTGTAAGGAAAGGTAAGGCTGTGTTTACACTGGTTTCATTCTAAAATGCATAACATTTTGCTGAGCTTAGACCTGACATCAACACTAATACACCATAGAATGTAAAAGATATGGCGCAGTGTCCGTGACGTCACCCATAGGTTTCTAAAAAACGCAAAAAAAAAAAAGCTACAAGTAGGCATGGCCAACCGGCGCCATTTTGCGTGTCATCACACGACCGGGGAATACCAAACAAGGGCAAAGAGGAGGAGCGTGAGCCGAGCTACAGAAGCCTGCTAGCATTTTGCTTAGACAGGCTTTTCTTTGGGAGAAATGTTTAATACTTCATTACCTGCGACTTGTTTGTGTTCTGACCACATGCGCTTGGTTGTGCACTATATAAATAAAGTGTTTAGTCTTTTAAAAACACTGCTGTAATACACTGAGCCACTAAACATTGATCTTAAAACGCTTTTCTACCGGAAGTACACTACAAAAAAGGCTTTTCTTACTTAGATTTTTTGTCTTGCTTCTAGTCCAAATATCTAACAATTCCTAAATCAAGAAGAATTTTCTAGACAAGCAAAACATACTGTCTTGTTTTGAGAAATAATATGCCAATATAAAGTGAGTTTTTCCATGAAACAAGCAAAATAATCTGCCAATGGAGTAAGCTAAATAATCTTACGTCAAAAGAAAAAACAAGATTAATTTGCTTACCCCATTGGCAGATTATTTTGCTTGTTTTAAGGAAAAACTCGCTTAATATTGGCATTTTATTTCTTAAAACAAGACAATTTGTTTTGCTTGTCTAGAAAATGCTTCTTAGCATAACATTTTTTTGATATTTAGACTAGAAATAAGACAAAAAATCTTAGCAAGAAAAGCATTTTTTTGCAGTGTAAATGTAAATTACTTCCAAACACCTAAAATGTAGTCTGTGTTAGCAAAGCTAATGATGAAATCCAGCATAACACTGTATGACAACGCTTCAGATGACTGTTCTAGAGCCTTCAGCTAATCAATTCGTCAGATTCCGGAGTACAACTCATCTCTGAAGACAAATTAAATGATAATTTATCTTAAATTTAACAAATACATTTATAGAGATGGTATATAAGTATATAATTTCACTCACCTGGAAAATGGAGGCAACTTGAATGGTTTGTGAGCACAATTAAGCGCACACAGCATGCCATATCATCTGACAATTGTAAGAACTAATCCAAAAAGGCAATCGACTGTGTAAAGACACATAAAACAACACAAAAATACGTTGGATATGCCGAGTTCAGCTGCTAATTAGCTGGAATAAGCTGATGTCACAAGACAGCGAGACCTAGCTGTCAGTCAAGTGGCCACCCCCTTAATTATGCAGACTTAATATAACTTAACGTAAATGAGTTATAAAAAAATTCACCCTCTCACAGTTGTCATGAAGGGTAATATTAGCTATATAAACCAAATCAATCTTTTGTACCAGCCTGTAAACATGTTTTTATCAGCTGTAAAATAGCCAATTTACTATTGCAGTCAGTGAACATCTGGAGTTCCTGGAGCCAGCCCCCAAAAGGCGAGTCGATGAATTGCAGTTTCAGTTACTTCCGTATTGGCCGTAATCGCTCTATATGTGGACTAGGCAAGGTCTTCTTTTATGAAGACTTTATGAGTTTATATTTATTAAAGAAGTATAAAGAAATATTTGTTTCGATAGTCTACAGCAGGGGTTTTCAAACTGTGGGTCGCAACCAACTAGTGGGGTCGCACAGTGAACAAAGGTGGGTGGCGGAACGTCACATAGCTGCAGCTATATTTACATTGCAGTGAATCAAAACCAGTACGATTAACGGCAATAACTTAAAAGCCTCTTACCCTAAAAATATCTAAAGTGTGTTTCCTACAAAAAGACAAAGCTGGTTATGTTTCACAGCTGTCTTTTTCTGTTTTTTCGCTCGACATTACGAGCACTGCTACGTTTGAGCTCTCGCAATCTGCGTTTAGCCGGTAGAGTTCGTGCAGAGCGAAGCTCTCAGTAAGGGACCGTCGGAAAAGGGCTTATTTTTTTATTTATTTATTTTTATTTTTAATTTTTTGCGTGTTTTATTTTAAACACAATAATTTTCTCTTAAATGAGCACAAACAGTTACTAAAGTAGTCGAATGCTTCATTATAGATCTGTGCATTCTTACATTAACACCTCTGTTATCAAACAAAACACAATGAGAGATTCATTTGCTGCTCTTCACTAAATAACTATAGTAACTTTAATCAATATGCAAATACAATTAAAAGTGAAATAGATTTTATAGCTTTATTTAATTTCTGTATAAGCCATTGATTTTAATAGGCTAAACCTTATATTGTATTGTCAATATTTTCTAATGTTTGCTATGTATTCTATCATTTGAAGCTATTTGTTGTCCCATAGTTTTTACATCCCAACGTTGACAGATTGCTAATCAATAGCTATAGTGCTATCTGTTAGTTTTAACGTCAGCTAATATAATGGAAGGGCATTGATGTTATGGAAAATAGTAATAGTAATGTAACCACCCCCATCCTTCCTTCCTCAAGCAAATGTGTAAATATTAGATCTATTCAGCTATACCCTTAATTGCATTGGCATATTTATCTGATGTTTTCCCAGCTTGTAGTAGTCGATCAAAAAGCGATTTAGTTTCTTATGACTGTACACTAGCAGTGGAATTTACTGCAATGTGATGGGGCTTGATCATAATCGTTGATCATCCAAGGTTGATCATATTCTCTTCTGGAAAAAGAAGAGTATCTTTTTCAACAAAAAAAATTATCACAGTTACAGCCAGCATCCCACAAAAAGCACTTGGAGTCTCATTTTGTGCATATCAAATCGCAAAATCCAAAAAGCCACACACCATATATTTTTGACTGCTTTGAATGGATACTTTTTTTTTTTACCCATTTTTCCATAATAAAATATTATGGTGGGTCTTGAGATTAAATTACTTGCCTAGGAGGGTCCCGGAATAAAAAAGTTTGGGAATCCCTGGTCTACAGAACAAACCACTGTTATACAATGACTTGCCTAATTACCCTAACTTTACCCTAATTAACCTAGTTAAACCTTTAAATGTCACTTTAAGCTGAATACTAGTGTCTTGAAAAATATCTAGTCAAATATTATGTGCTGTCATCATGACAAAGATAAAATAAATCAGTTATTAGATATGAGTTATTAAAACTATTATGTTTAGAAATGTGTTGAAATTGGGGAAAAATATAAAAGTTTAAATGTAACAGGAGGGTGTATATATAGGGTGTATATAACTGTATATTCAATTGTGCATTATAATTATATAGTTACTAATATTTTCAGATTTTTATCTTGTTCTTTTGTGAATACAGGTGTCATTTAAAGCATTTTGCCAACTTAAATGAAACTCTTTCCCTCTCAACACCATTTAATGGTCTACTGTTTGTTGAATTTATTGATTATTATATATAGGCTGCATTTTATGTCCTATATTTTATTGCTAAAGTATCGAATTGATTTTAAATATTACTTTTAACTTTCAAGGCACTTCATAATCTCGCTCCTCAATATCTCACTGAACTTCTCCATATCTACACCCCTTCTCGTACCCTTAGATCAGCCAACAACTTCACCCTGGCACCACCTCGCACTCGATTGAGCACAATGGGAGACAGATCTTTAAGCTCTATGGCTCCTAGGCTATGGAACTCTCTTCCAGTAGATCTTAGGAGCAGTGATAGTCTTCACGTCTAAAGACCCATCTTTTCAAGCAGGCTTTTACTTAACAATTTTTTTATCATGTTTTTATTATGTTCTTTTATATTCGCTATTGCGTTTTAACTTGTTTTGTCAGTGATTGTTTTTAGTAATGTTTCATTTGTTTAGCATGTCTGCTGATGCTTATTGTAAGGCGACCTTGAAAGGCGCCCTTTACAAATAAAATGAATTATTATTATTATTATTATTATATTTATTACTACTTTTCGCTTCTGATGTGTGTTTTCAGCTGTGTGGTGTGAAGGGAGATCTTTCCTAAAAACATAGTGCAAATGACAGTATGGATGAGGATCATTTATGTTTTATACCACTGTGTTGAAGTGGAAACACACTGGCGTAAATGCAGCCTCAGACGTTCTTTACACACACACATAGTCACTTATTCATTCACAGATGAACACACACATACACACACACAGAGTCACTCAGCCAATCACAAACCAACACTGGTTGCCAGGCAACAGCACAGTTTGGAAGCCGTCTTTTTAGGTCGCCATGGCAACGTGTGAAATGAATCATACACATCATAGAGCAAACAGAAAACATGCGAGACGGAGTCACTGAATGATGTGCTCGATAAAACACGATAATAATGATTATTATTAAAATAACGACTGTTATTGTTCACACATATGAGCTCAAAATCAGACTGAAACCACTCAAAACACCCTTTCTTTTTCAATAGAATGTATATCTTCTGATTAAAACTGGTGGGCTCTATTTTGACGGTCCATGGGCAGAGCGCAAAACGCAGCGTGTTAGAACGCATTTTGGCTAATTTAAGGACGGGAAAATCCGCTTTGCGCCGTGGCGCATGGTCTAAAAGGGTTGAGTTTATTTTCTTAATGAGTTATAGGTGTGTTTTGAGAATAAACCAATCAGAGTCTCCCATTACCTTTAAGAGCAGCTGTGTCGCGCCATAAGCGCATTCGCTATTTACAGGACATAAAGTAAGTCTAAGTGGAAAAAATGAGCATTTCACTGGCAAACAACAGTTTTTTTAACAGAAAACTGTTAAACAGAGCATCTACTGCGTGAGAATGAGAGATAATGGATCTACTTTCACTTTCGCTCTTGGATAGGGAAACCTTTACGCACAGACATCAATTACTCTATAAATAAATAATTTAGTTTGTTAAGCGCAAATATTCATTTCAAAACTATTTCTAAATTCAGTTCTAATTTCCAGCAAACGAATAAATGAATAATAATAACAAAATGTGCTCAAAAACCTGAGTTATATCCTAAAACACATGCTCTGCCCCATATGGTCTAAAACCTGACAGGTGGGCAAATCTAAGCTTGTTTTTAATAAAACAAATATAAATATGGATATAATAAATAATACTGCTAATAATAATAACATTATACAAAAGCAAATTGTTATGAATGAACTGAAAAAGCCTCCCGAGATGAAGAAATAAAAGCAGTGATTTTTCATATTTATGTAGGCTAGAAAATAATATGTTTAGTAATATTTTAATCCTTTATATTTATATTCTATATCTATTCTTATTATATCCTATATATATCCTTAATATTTACATTTTTTCATATGTAAAGATATTTGCCTATTGCTCTCTTGTGCGTATTAAGCAGTGTGTAAGCGAGGTGCAACTCTGCACCGGAGTTTAGACCGGGTTTGTTTTGGTCTAATGAAAAATCTATTATAGTTTCTCAAAATAGCAACGCGCCAGCGGTCCGTCTCAGAACGCCTTCCTTTTTATACCAGAACGCCTATGGGCGCAAAAATGAGCGCTAATGCATTTGCTATTTAAACAGCGTAGCGCAACGCCTCAAAACTCTTGCGCCAAGCTGAAACTACCAAAAGACTACTGCGCCACGCCTTGGGCCACACTGCGCCGGGTGTATGATAGGGCCCAGTGTGTTTAGTTGATAACTGATTTCTGAAATAATATAGTCTGTGTACACATATAGATCAAACTTACAGGGTATCTGCAGGGTCTTAAAAAGTCTTAAAGTGATAAATATCAAAAACCAAATTTTAGGCTGTACAAAGTCCTAAATCCACTGAAATATTGTGTTGTAGGTCTTAAATAATGTTAAACGGGTCTTAATTTTTTTCTATGTGTATTTAAAGCTATAATTAAAAGGGCCAATACCCATCCAATCATTAACAATATATTTTAATAAAAGTTTATTTATTACCTATTTACTTATCAATATGGTTTAATAATCCTCTATACATTAACACTTGCTTTTAATGTTTTTTTTTTAGTTTTAACTTGGCTATAAAAAAAATCTTTAGCATTTAGCCTTGTGCAAGTCTGAAATTACATTCATTATGGTCTTAAAAGGGTCTTCAAGAGTTCACACTTAGCTGATGATTTATGAAAGCTTGTTTGGCATGCTGTCCCGGGAGAGAGCCCAAGGGATCCTCGAGCCCGGGGCTTCCTCCCGTTGGCAGAGCGAGAGGGGAGCCTGAGCTCGGTGGATCTCAGAACTCCCCGACTGCGGTAGCTAAGGGAACAGAGGGGTTAGACAAATGCTTAATTGTTATACGTGTTGAATGTTTTTGGATGGTGGGAGGAAACCGGAGAACCCGGGGAAAACCCACGCGGACACGGGGAGAACATACAAACTCCTCACAGAAACACCCACCGGCCCTAAGGGACCATCAGTGTTCTTGCTGTGGGGCTCGCAGTGCTAACCACTGGGCCGCCGTGTCGCCCGTTCAGAGGTAAAGGAGGAGAAAAGGGGAGGAGGGGGGTTTCTTCCAAACGAAGATAAAATGAGCTGGAAACTGTGGCTATTTATAGTAGCTTAGGGCTCATGTGATTGGAAGATAGTGATTAGCAAAATACGGGACTGGCCGTGATAAATTATAAGCACGTGATTCTCTCGAAATTAGTTTATGAATAATCCTCACTTAAAAAGTCTTGAATTTGACTTGATGAAACCTGAAGAAACCCTGACTTAGTATTCATTATTTTCTTTCAGCTTAGTCCCTTTATTAATCAGAGGTCTGCACAGAGGAATGAACCGCTAACTTATCCAGCACATGTTTTACACAGCGGATGCCCTTCCAGCTGCAACCCAGTACTGGGAAACACCCATGCACTCTTATTTACACTCATACACTACGGACAATTTAGCTCATGCCAATTAAGCCCATGTGTTTGGACTGCGGGGGAAACCGGAGCACCCGGAGGAAACCCACGCCAACACGGGGAGAACATGCAAACTCCACACAGAAATGCCAACTGGCCCAGCCGGGGCTCGAACCAGCGACCTTCTTGCTGTGAGGCGATTGTGTAACCCACAGCGCCAACGCTGCTGCCCTAGTTTAACGGAAATATTTTTGGGCAATAGTTTTTAGTCTTGGTTTACTAAAACCACCTTGGTATCAGTTAATCTAACCTCCTGGATTGTGACGATTGTCTTGATTTCTCCCTCAGCTCGGCCTCGTCTGTTCAGAAGTGTGTTGTGGTCAAACATCCTGCCTTCATAACCAGCAGCGATGCTTCCAGCAGTCTACAGGTCTGTCAAACTGTTGAGCTCTATGAATATAATACATACAGTTGAAGTCAGAATTATTAACCCTCCTGTGAATTTTTCCTTTTGAAATATTTCCCAAATTATGTTTAACAGAGCGAGGAATTTTTCACAGTATTTCCTATAATATTTTTTCTTCTGGAGAAAGTCTGATTTGTTTTATTTCGGCTAGAATAAAAGCAGTTTTTATTTTTTTAAACCCATATTAAGGTCAATATTATTAGTCGTGTTAAGCTATATATCTTTATGATTGTCTACAGAACAAACCACTGTTATACAATGACTTGCCTAATTTCCCTAGTTAAGCCTTTAAATGTCACTTTAAGCGGAATACTAGTGTCTTGAAAAATATCTAGTCCAATATTATGTGCTGTCATCATGACAAAGAGAAAAGAAATCAGTTATTAGAAATCAGTTCCTATAAAGGTATGTTTATGTTTGTAAACGTCTGTGTTTCTGGATTTAATCACACACTCATCTGTAGTTTTTAATCAGTTGAATGATTGGAATGTGCCATCTGCAAGAATACTGTGCTGACAATGAGTTGAGCGTATAATCAATAGGATTGTACCAATCAAACTGTTTAGACCAGTGATTAAAGACAATGCCTCATCATCGCTTTTTGTGGCCTAAAAGATCTGCCCTTTGATAGCTTAATGCGTACCACTTAATGCATACATTAAGGAATTTTTAATACATTTTATAAAACTGTAGATATCAATATGTTAACGATATGATAATCATATTAATATAGGGATAGATCTTGCAAAAATGAAAATTGTCATTATATTCTTGCTTTAAACTAGTTTTTTTTTTGGTCACACTTTACAATAAGGTTCATTAGTTAATGTTAATTAATGCATTCACTAACATGAACAAATGCAGTAGTAAATGTATTGTTTATTGTTTGTTCATGTTAGTTAACGTTAGTTAATGAAAATACAGTAGTTCATTGTTAGTTCATGTTAACTCATGGTGTATTAACTAATGTTAACAAGCATGGACTTGGATGTTAATAATGCATTAGTAAATGTTCAATTATGATTAATAAATGCTGTACATGTGATGTTCATGATTAGTTCATTTTAGTAAATGCATTAACTAATGAACCTTATTGTAAAGTGTTACCTTTTCTGTTCCATTGACTTCCATTGTAGGAAAAATAAATACTATGAAAGTCAGTGGTTACAGGTTTTCAACATTCTTCAAAATATCTCCTTTTATGTTGAACAAAACAAATAAAACTGATGGAAGGAAGATTTTGAAAACTCTTGGAAACCTGTAACCATTGACTTCCATTGTAAGAAAAATAAATACGATGTTAGTCAATGGTTAAAGGTTTTAAACATTCTTCAAAATATCTTCCTTCGTGTTCAGCTAAACAAAACTAAAAGGAGGAAGACATTTTGAAGAATCTTGGTAACCTGTAACAACTGACTTCCATTGTAGCAAAAATAAATTCTATGTTAGTCAATGGTTACAGGTTTTAAACATTCATCAACATATTTTCCTTTGTGTTCGACGAAACAAATAGAACTGATGGAAGGAAAACATTTTGAAGAATCTTGGAAACCTGTAACCACTGACTTTTTATTTTAGGAAAAATAAATACTATGTAAGTCAATGGTTACAGGTTTTAAACATTTATCAACATATCTTCCTTTGTGTTCAACGAAACAAATAGAACTGATGGAAGGAAAAAATTTTGAAGAATCTTGGAAACCTGTGACCACTGACTTTTTATTATAGGAAAAATAAATACTATGTAAGTCAATGGTTACAGGTTTTCAACATTCTTCAAAATATGAACAACTTGAACATTCAAAACATAAAAAAAAAACAAATAAAACTAATGGAAGGAAGATTATTTTGAAGATTGTTGGAAACCTGTAACCATTGACTTCCATTGCAGGAAGAAATAATACTATGTTAGTCGATGGTTACAGGTTTTCAACATTCCTCAAATATCTTCCTTTGTGTTAAAAAAAAAAAACAATACCAAAAAAAAAAAAAATCTGAAGATAGAAGATATTTTGAAGAATCTTGGAAACCTGTAACTATTGACTTACATCGTAGGAAAAAAATACTTTGGAAGTCAATAGTTATAGGTTTTCAACTTTCCTCAAATATCTTCCTTTTCTGTTCAACAAAACAAATAGAACCAAATAAAAGGAAGATATTTTTAAAAATCTTGGAAACCTGTGCCAATTGACTTCCATTGTAGGAAAAATAAATACTTTGAAAGTCAATGGTTACAGGTTTTCAACATTCTTCATAATATCTACCTTTGTGTTCAATGAAACAAATAGAAAAATAAGCCGAAAAATAAGAAAAATATTTTAAAGAATCTTGGAAACCTGTGCTATTTATTTTGATTTTAGGGGAAAAAATACTATGAATGTCAAAGTTTACAGGTTTTCAACATTGTTCAAAACATCTTCCTTTGTGTTCAACAAAAAATATAATAATCGCATAAAAGGTAGATATTTGGAAAAATATTGGAAACCTGTAATCATTGACTGGTTTCTTTTGTGTGTGTGTGTGTGTGTGTGTGTGTGTGTGTGTGTGTGTGTGTGTGTGTGCTTCAGACTCCATGGGATGAATTGTGTGATATCTGGTGGGATGACCTGATGGATGGAGTGTCGGATGAGTGTGAACCGGAGTGGATGGACTCTGAAGATCCTCTTTTCATACTTTACACCAGCGGCTCCACCGGAAAACCCAAGGCAAGTGCCCTCTAAATCTAGAATTTAACACAGGTCATGTATAGTACAGACTCAATTTGGTTGTCAATTCACCTTTAAAAAATGATACTATTTTTCTTCATACACACACTTCAGTCATTTAGAGGCATTTGGGTTGCCAGAGCTAGAAAAAAACTGCAAATAAAAAACTATACAAAAAAAAAAAAAACTCATCATCAGCTTCTCTGCCAGTAAAAATACTGGTCTAACAGGTCTGGCCTTTCAGAAACCAGAATGATATCTTAATGCAAGTATAGTAAAGCAACAGTTCACCCAAAAATGAAAATTGTCATCATTCACTTAATCCAAACCATTTTTTCCCCTGTCAAACACACACACGAAAAAATGATATTTTGAAGAATGTTGGAAATCTGTAACCATTGACTTCTACAGTGTTTATTTTCTACAATGGAAGTCAATGGTTACAGATTTTCAACATTTTTCAAAATATCATCCTTTGTGTTCAAAAACAAAAAAATCTAAAATAAGATATTTAGAAGAATCTTGAAAACCTGTTACCACTAACTTCCATTTTGGGAAAAATAAATACCATGGAAATCAATGGTTACAATATTTCTTTAACATTCTTCAAAATAACTTCCTTTTTGTTCGACAAAGCAAAGCAAAACAAAACAAAACAAAAAAACTCAAGGAAGGAAGGAAAATATTTTGAAGATTGTTGGAAACCTGTAACCATTGACTTTCATAGAATTCATTTTCCTACAATAGATGTCAGTAATTACAGGTTTTTAAAATATCTTCCTTTGTGTTAAAAAACTAAAAAAAGATAAGATATTTTGAAGGATTTGGAAACATGATACCACTGACTTCCATTTTAGAACAAATAAATAGTTTGGAAATCAATGGTTACAGGATTTCTTTAACATTCTTTAAAATATCTTCCTTTGTGCTCAACAAAACGAAAAAAAAAGTATTTTGAAGAATGTTAGAAACTTGTAACCATTGATTCCCTAGTAGAAAAAAAAACTATGTAAGCCAATGGTTACAGGATTTCATTAACATTCTTCACAATATCTTCCGTTCTGTTGAACAAAACAACAGCAAAAAAAAAAAAAAAAACCTCAAGGAAGAATGAAAGATATTTGAAAAAATGTCTGAAACCATTGAATTCCATAGTACGAAAAAATACTATGAAAGTAACTTATTGCAGGTTTTCAACATTCTTGAAAATATCCTCCTTCCTTCCTTGAGTTTTTATTGTTTTGTTGAACACAAAGTGACTAAAATGACTAAAAACTCAACTATTTAGTCTCCACTTTCCTTCCTAATCTGCAGTTGCCTCTCTGGCTCCACCGCTAACTACTCAAAAATAAATAAATAAATAAATAAATAAATAGAAAACTTACATTACTAATGCTTTGCTTCTTACACTTTACACCTGCAATTTGCCTACAGCACTTATTCATTGTTGCTCTTATAGTTGTGTAAATTGCTTCCTTGTCCTCATTTGTAAGTCGCTTTGGATAAAAGCGTCTGCTAAATGACTAAATGTAAATGCAAAGGAAGGTATTTTCAAGAATGCTGGAATCCTGTAATCATTGACTTCCCCTTCAGGAAGAATAAATATTATGGAAATCAATGGTTACATTTTTTAAACATTCTTCAAAATTTGTGTTCAACAAAACAACAACAAAAAAAAACTCAAGGAGAAAAGAAAGATATTTTTAAGAATGTTGAAAACCTTCGATTTACATTGTAGAAAAAAATAAATACTTTGCAAGTCAGTGGTTACAGGTTTTTTAACATTCTTCAAAATACATTTTGTTAAATGGCAGAAACCTGTAACCATTGACTTCTATAGGTGGAAAAATAAACGCCATTGAAGTCATTGGTTACAGGTTTTCAACATTCTTCAAAATATCTTCCTTTGTTCAAAAAAAAAAAAAACTCAAGGAAGGAAGAAATTTAAGAATCTTGGAAACCTTTGATTTACATTGTAGGAAAAATAAATACTTTGCAAGTCAGTGGTTACAGGTTTTCAACATTTTTCAAAATATCTTTGTGTTCAACAAATCGAAAAACAGGCATGCATCCTACATTATTCACACTTTATTTTAAAGTTAAAATAGCTATTAATAAACCATTAACTTTGACTTTTAGCTAAATAAACTTCTGATGTCCTGCTTAAGTATAGGGTAGGATCAGGAATAAATAAGATCATGCTGAATATGTACATTATGTACTAATAAACAACTGATTACTTAATACTATGCAGGTAATGAGACAGTAGTTAATTGTGAGAAAAGCTAATGTGTAACAATGAATGATCTTCTTTTGGTTTGTCCTGTACAGGGGGTGGTCCACACCGTCACAGGCTACATGCTCTACACCTCACTGACCTTCAAATATGTTTTCGATTATCACCATGACGACGTTTACTGGTGCACTGCAGACATTGGCTGGATCACAGGCCACTCCTACATCACATATGGCCCGCTGGCCAATGGCGCGACCAGTGTGCTCGTGAGTTCTGCACACACTGAAATACTATTAAATGCAACGCATATATTATATTATATACAGTGGAGGAAATAAGTATCCGCTTGTTAAGTGATGACGTGTTGGTGATGTATGTAATACTGTTTTCGGGTCCAAGCCGCCACTCATTTGAGTTGAGAAATCATTTGTTTATGATCACTTTTTATTCATATCACACATTAAAGTAAATTTTATATACAGTCATAGTGTACACAACAATCTCTGGGCTTGCTGCATCACAAATACCAAAATTTTAATTTAATTAAAAAAAATAATAAATCACTTTCTGGCCATCAGATATTAGGCATGGACAAAAATATTGCGACGGTGATTTTCAAAAGTATTAAATCGCTTTGTAAACGTTAATTATTACCATTTCATGAGTCTTCCCATTCAGTTAAATAGAGCGCTTGGACTTGGAAGCCGCTTCGCGTGACGTCACACTTAACAAGCGGATTAAACGACATGTCACCATTTGTCTCAGAAAACATATTTATAAAGGCGTCGGGGACTTGAAATTTTCCCCGGATGTTGGCAACAACCAAAGAAATCCATATATGCAAAGAAAACCAATCTAATTAGTGTACAAATGAAGTTATGCGTGATAAAATGAAATGACACAGGGAAAAAGTATTGAACACATGAAGAAAGGAAGGTGTAGAAAGGCAGGGAAAGCCCAGACAGCAGCTGAAATCTCTCAGTAGTTCTTCAGCAACCCTCTGCCCTTCCTCAGGCCCCGTTTACCCTAAGTTTTGCTACGGTTACGCCATCCATCCACACTACGCCTGAGTTTTCGAGTGCTAAAAACGGAGCATTTTGAAAACGATGGATTAGCCGTTTTCATTCTGAAACGCTGCTGCTCCGTCTCAGTGTAGATGGGGAAAACGGAGACATCTGAAAACAGAGGTGGGGCTGCTGAGATTCGCTACCTGATTGGGGCTTTTGTGTCATTGCGTATCCTTCCCTTATTCGTCAAGCCCCTATCACATGACTGTAACACATGACTTTAACGCTACCGGAAGACAGCAGACCAGCCTTTCATTGTAAACAACAACATGGACACAGAAATGGGAGCGTTGTTTGCACTATTGTCTGTTTTATCCACCATTGTGCTGTTATTCATTTGTTACGTTTAGTGAAAACTCGACTTCGTCGTCTGTCCACAAAAATACCTCGCTTGCTTTCTTTGCCATCGCGTTCATTGTTCAACCGGCGTTTGTTGACTAACAATAACCTAATGCTGAGCGGGACACGTGCTTGCTGTTCATATTCGAACGTGCATGCCCAGAGTGCGCGAATGGTCACGTGATATACGTTTTTGGTGGCGTAGTGTGGACGGAGATATGTTCAGAGACGCTAGGTGAAACGCTAGTGTGCACGTGGATCTTTTTTATTCTAAAACGCCGTTTTAAAACTAAAACGCACGAGTGTAAACGGGGCCTCAGTGTAAATGAATAACAGCTGCTTCAGTCCAACATCTACATTAGCAGGAGGATGAGGATGAAACCAGAGTGGACATTTCAGCAAGACAATGATCCAAAACACAGCCAAGAAAACTCTCAGATGCTTTCAGAGAAAGAAAAGCAAGCTGTAGAATGGCCCAGCCAATCACCTGACCTGAATCCAATAGAAAATGCAAGATAAAGCTCAGATTAGTTAGACGAGACCTACAGAACATCAAGATTTTGACACTCGGTTGATGTTTGTGAGAAACTCACACCTGAGCAGTGCATGAGGCTTCATTCTCCATATGAGAGGCGTCTTTAAGCTGCAGCACCAAAAAAGCCTTTTATATAAAGCATTGAATACATTTTAGTAGTTCAGCACTTTCTCCTTCTGTCATTTCATTCTTATTACACACAACTCATTTTTCAGATTTTGTTTTGGTTTATTTTTATGTTTGTTTGTATTTTATATATTATTTGGGTTGTTACCAAAATCTGGTTAAATTCCATGTCAACAGCTCCTTTAGACAATGTTAATTTTTAGGGATAAAAAAAGTATGTTTACTTAGCATGTTTCTTAGATATCTGCAAACATACTATGCTATTTTATGCTTTATAATAGCCAGCAACTTACATACAGCACCTTTAAGAATTATCGTTGAGCACAAACAGTGAATTGAAATGATTTGTGTGTGTGTGTGTGTGTGTGTAGTTTGAAGGTGTGCCGGTCCATCCTCATGTGGGCAGACTCTGGGAGATCATTGAGAAGTATGGAGTCTCTAAGTTCTACACGGCGCCCACTGCTATAAGACTGCTGATGAAATATGGGAAAGAACCACTGCAGCGGTGAATATACACTTCTACATTTGAATATATGTGCTTTACACACTTTAACTACTGTAGTCCTGCATAAGCCTGATTTAGATGTGTAGTCACTAGTCAGTATGTCTCTCAGTGAAGTGTAGGAGCGCCATCTATTGGACAAACAATATTTCAGAAAATGACCTTGCAGGCTGTACAGTTTGAACATGAACAAAACAGTTTGTGCTGCAGACAACATTAGATGAGTTAAATGAGTAGAGCATTATTAGCCCTCCAGTAAAAATGAACTTTTTCAAATATTCCCCAAGTGTTGTTTAAGGGTGCTGTTCACACCTGTGAATCGATTCAGTTGTTCTGAAACAGAGATTACAATTGTTACATTGTTGCTCTTTGCTCTTGGAGCGGTTCGCTTTCACACTGCAAAGTTTCTAATCAGACCAAAAGAGCTAAAACAAGTCACGTGCGAGTAAACTCTCCTCACATTGGTCAGAGTGTCAGGGTTTATTTTGCAGCGTCCCGCTAAGCTGTCAGGAGAGGTGGTGGTTTGGTGGTGATTGACAGGGTGTGCGCGTGCGACGTGTCTGAAGAGAGACGCGGTGGGGAGGGGTGAGAAGGGTGCGCGACGATGCCTATTTGAGGACCGGGAGGGAGACGCGAGATTACCGGGAGATCATCACTCGTTTGCGGGCATCCGGAGACTCGCGAAACTTCCCGCCCTACTCATAATTCTCTCTTCATATAGCCGTAAGCCTATTACATATCCATAAAACACTGTGATATAACCGCGCTCGGATCGGATCGCTTTCTCACTACAATCAAACAGCTCCAGGGTTCGTTTCAATCGAGCCGAGACCACCTCATTCAAGCGATCTCGGAGCGATTACTTTGGCACGGAACAGAGCGCGATTGCCCTGTTCACATATGCCAAACGAACTGCGCTAACTGGGCAAACGAGATACGTTCCGAAACAAAAGTGTAGGTGTGAAAGCACCCTAACAGAGAGATTGTTCCTCAACACATTTTTAAACGTATATTTTGATAACTATTTTCTAATAACAAATGTCTTCTGTCTTTGCCATGATCACATTATATAATATTTTACAATAAATAGTTTAAACAGTTTAAAGTGCAAATCAAATGTTGAGAAGGTTAAGTAGTTTAACTAGAGTAGGTTGGTTAAATAGGCAAGTCATTGGACAGCAGTTGTTTGTTCTGTGGCCAATAAAAAAACATGAAGGGGGCTGTTTTTATCTTCATTACACACACACACACACACACGCACGCACGCACGCACACACACACACACACACACACACACACACACACACACACACACACACACACACACACACACACAAATGTTTGTTTTTGTGAAAAGTGGGGACATTACATAGGTTTCCATTCATTTTATACTGTCCAAACCGTATATCATATTGCCCTCACCCCTAAACCCAACCATCACAGGAGACTGTGTGCAGCTTTACTCTCTGATTAAACTCATCCTGTGGGATTTATAAGCATTTTGAAAAATTAGGACGTCACCAATGTCCTTATATTTCACCACCTTTATGTAATCCCTGTGTCATACCCATGTCATTATACAGATTTGTCCTGATATGTCACAAAAACACACACACACACACACACACACACACACACATGCGCTTTATTAACAAGAATCAGCATGTACAGTTTCATTATACAACAAAATCACTGCACATTCCTTAACAAGGAGGATAAAACAAGAAAAGAAGGAATTAAATAAATAATAATAATTAAAAAGAGAGGGTGCATAATTATCTAAATTACATACAAATATATTATACATATTGTTCCAATTTTAGTTATTAACAAAAATGCATGTACATTTGATCAAAACAGATATTCATTTATTCATTTTCTTTTCAGCTCAGCCCCTTTATATTAATCCGGGGTCGCCAAAGCAGAATGAATGGCCAACTTATCCAGCACATGTTTACGCAGTAGATGCCCTTCCAGCTGCAGCCCATCTCTGGGAAACATCCATACACACTCATACACTACGGACAATTAAGCCAACCCAATTCACCTGTACCGCATGTCTTTGGACTTTAGGGGAAACCTTCACGGGGGTTTCCTCCGGTTGCTCCGATTTCCCCCACAATCCAAAGACATGCTGCAGGTGAATTGGGTAGGGTAAATTGACCGTAGTGTATGAGTGTGT